TTCAAGAAGAGCAGTGTGGCTTCCGGCCCGGTCGAAACACCTCTGACCATATATTTGCCCTGTGCCAGATTGTTGAGAAATCGTGGGAGTACGCCCTGCCAGTGTACATGTGTTTTGTGGACCTAGAAAAAGCCTATGACCGGATCTCATGCAGCAGTCTGTGGACATGCCATAGTGCATACGGGATTGATGGCCAGCTGCTGAGGGCCATCCAATAACTGTATTCTGATAGCAGGTGCTGCGTCGAAACCATTCAACGTTCGCACTGGTCTCTGCCAAGGCTGCGTCCTGTCTCCTCTCCTGCTTGTGTTTTACATGGATAGAATATTCCGGAGCAGACAAGGCAATGAGTATATCATTTTCGCCTGCTGCGTTTTCATCGTGCAGTTGTAAAGAGAGCGCATCGGGAAAGTCGGCCGTTCTAGACGTAGTTATGTTAATTGATCGCTGAAAATGCAAATAACCGACCTGTTTCGTTCATTACCATTAATCTTCGAAACTCATCTCCCTTACAGTATCCTCCAGCCATGAAAGTGCTCAGAAGCAGGCAGAATTTATCTATTCGCTTATCAAGATTCAGTGGTTCATTAACTGATCGCTCATGCGCAAATCTGTTTTGTTCATTGAGGCAAATTTGGAGTACCATTTTTGACGCAGCACTAAGATCATCACTTAGCGACGGGGCGAATGCAAAAATTTGGCAGCATTACTTCTCTTTAAACAGTTGGAAACAGGTCGGTTAACAGAGCGTGAAATGGCCATTCACGATTGAGCGATGGCGTCTAAGTACGTCTGTAGTCGTGGCCAGCTGGACCTAGACATTCGTAGGAAATCGGCGATGTTCGTTAAATGAACGACAGCCGATTATGGTGATTTCTATTGTTTAAAGCACGCTATACAAATCAAACCTTCATGTTCAGGACATGGAGTGAACAGAGTCAAAAGTGAGCGATCAAATGGAAAGACGGCTTACAATGGAACGTGCGTCTTTCGCCGTGAAGGCTTATCACTGAATTTGAAATGATCAGCTGGTAAGACAGTGATAACTAGCCGTCGCAAAGAAAGTCCGTCTTAGAGAAGGATGTCCGGACGCCATGCCCATGTGAAAGATTAGGAGTGAAAGAACAGACGCTGAAATCGTTTCTTCAATGGAACGACTTAGCGATATACTGTAGCATGCTTTAGACGAAAATGAACGGATATCTTTCAAAAAAGAAAAGAACATGTCTTCTGCAATAGTACTTCAATGATAAAAGCCAAGGAAAATCGATATCAAGTTTCAGGTCATGTCTTAATCAGTCTGAACACAAATTCTGTGTATGTTTATTCTTGCTAGTATGTGTTGTTTTGACTGCAACAGAAGTACGAAAAGTACTGACTCCATCGTACTAAAGCTAATTCAGTTTCCCTTGATTAATTATTATGGGCACAGGTGAGTTTGCTCAGTCATTATATGCTAGCTTAAATTACGCATAGAACGTGTTGAGGTACAGCTGTTTTTAAAAAACGAGATGTCCTTGATGGAAACCCCTAGCAGATCTCATGTACTACACTTTCACTGGTCATTGACGGGGACAGCGCAGTCCCACCAATGAAATGTTCAACTTT